TGGTAATTAGTGAATGTTCCAGTGTTGACAGAGGATACTAGAAGGTTACTATTCCAGATGTTTCTCTGTCTTTTTCTGAAGGGTTCCTGTTGTGGCCGTTTTAAATCGCTGAGGGATGGGGGGAAATTTAAGGAACTAACTCTTTGTGAAGTATTCCTTGAAATACTGAGGAGGAGAATACGGTTATATTGAGAATACGGTATAATTGACAGCCCAAAAGTATGTGTGAATGTCAGTGGGGTGCCAATTACAGACAGTATTGGAGGGGAAAAAAGCTTTCCGGAGATCGTTAGTCACACGGTCGATCCAGTATTCACTAAAAAGTCCTAACCTTGACACTGATTAAGTATGTCACCATGGATCGAAGAGAGGGATGGGTACAAAGAGAGCGCGGGTCAGAGAGAGAGAGGAGAGGACAGAAAGGCTGCTCTCCATCTCAGTTGACCCTCTCTAAAGTAAACAGAGTGAAAGACAGATGTTGTTCTCCCGTCTCTCTGCGCACGTTCTTTCCCTTCCAGCCCTCCCTGACTTTTACGAGGAGTTTAGGTTTCGGCCTAGGGGTCACGGCTTTCCCATTCCAAGCCCATGGAGAGGAGGCGGAGTGCAGAACCTGTCGCCAGGAATAAAAGGGGAGTCTGCTGAAGGGGTGCAGGCGCACTACAACTCGGGCGCCACTGGGAGGCGGAGCATCGTCATGGCTCGCCGGAGGGACAGTGAGGTCTGTTGAGTCAGAGTAGTCAGTGCAGTTTTGGTGGCCAGCAGCGCGACGGGCCGGGTGTTGCTGGCACCCTTTTAAACGGCAGGATGGAACAGCACCAAAGGCCCTTTAAAGAGCTCCAGCGTCCACCACCAGCAGCTGTGCACCAGTACTTTCTCACCACCCCCCATTCTGTTTGCATATGTGTGTGTGTTGTTTAGGAGTAGAACTGCAACAGTGTCTCTCTCCTGGTTTGGATGGGTCCCTCAGGGCCACTACAATGAAACTAGATCCTCATATGGGTTTGGCAGGTGAAGGAGAGCGAGAGACAGCGAGAGTGCTAGAAAGGAAGTAAGAGTGGATAGGGGATTGAAACATGATTTCTCCACTCTCAGCAGGTAGGAGGGAATCCGAGGAAATCCTTCTCCACGCTTAGACCCATCCTCTTTATCCTAACACTATGTTTCCTGTGGAGTCTATAAGCTCTAAAACAGAATAATGGACAGAGCTATAGTATGAGGGGTGCACAACAGGAAAGAACACCAGGGCCTTGTAACCCCATAAAGGCCTTACATTCGGCGCAGAGGGTTGCCGGCATACCACAGACCACACGTTGACAGTGCTTCGTGTGTGATAACATAAAACAAACAAAGAAATACACACACACACCATCAGTCACCTTACAAAGCGACCAAGCGGTCAACGTATTTATTAACAAGTTGCAGATAGGACAATGTCTTGATATATATAATATATAAAAAGAAACTAACACTTGTGATTTGATCTGTAACGACCTTGCCAGTGATTGATTAGGTTAGGGCAAGGTGATGACTGATTTTGACCTCTCTCGTTGGATGATATGGTGAGGTTTCCTGTATGAGGTCATTGCAGTCTCCAGTTGTAATAATTACATTCTGCCTAGAGACCAGGTTGGGGTCAATTCTGTTTTAATTCCTGTCCAATCCAGGATGCACATTATTTATTTTTATTAATAAAAAAATAATGATATAAAATGACTGACTATTTAATCTGTCTATATTTGATATGGAATCGAGTCCAACCCTGCTGAGAGAAGACGAGAGATAAACCTACCCCTGGGCAGATCACCTGACCCGCTGGATACCTCACTTGGTCTAACCTCTCTCTCTCTCTCCTGTATGAGAGGGCCAGTAAGGCTGCCTTTACACTGGCAGTCCAATTCGGATCTTTTTTTCACTAATTGGTCTTTTGACCAATCAGATCAGCTCTTTTCCTAATAATTGGGCAAAAGATCAGAATTGGACTGCCTGTGTAAACGCAGCCTGAGTGGGCCTCGCCAGGTGGTTAGTGCATTGGTGAGCTGTTCTTTGTACCCAAGCAGTGACAGTCTTATGCAGGGTCCCATTTCTGAAAGATTATCATCTAGGTTGGAGGGAAAGGATCAAAGGCTGCATTTACACAGGCAGCCAAATTCAGATAGTTTTCCACTAATTGGTCTTTTGACCAATCAAATCAGATCTTTTCACAAGACAAATTAGTGGAAAAAATATCAGAATTGGGCTGCCTGTGTAAACGCAGCCTAATTTCCCCTAACTAATTTGAAGGGCCTGGATAGGTATTGTAACACCAATATTGTAGGCTAGGTTAAGATTCCTCCATGTAGTTTTTTCCCCATTGAGAACAGAAGGGAGAACATTTTGTTGAGGGAGCCCAGCAAGAGAGAGCAGTGATGCCTCTCCGAAACTGGTTCGTGTTCATTAGAGCACACAAAGGAAAACTATTAAAAACCTTTCGCAATAAAACACAAACATTTGCAATTTGAAGTCCAGGCAGTCAACGTTTTAGTACGTTCTCTTCTATTTCTCGCCAAATGAACACAGCCCTAATTGATCTTACTGAATGACAGGAAGAGAAGTGGATACAGGAGTACAGTAAGTATGCACCTCCATGAAAGCAGTAAAAACACAGACAATATACATTTTTTTTGTGCAACAGCCAAAATGTCATCCAAAAAGATACAAAGAACTAAAAACTCACCATCACCTTATAAAGCTGATTATCACAGTTTAAAAATAAACAAAATCAGACCCTTTTTGACATAGTTGAGTGTAGTTGCTGATGTTGAGGGAAGCAGCAAGGGAGGCTGTAACCATAGCGTGGTGTCTCATCTTGTAATACTGATCTGTTAGCGCTTGAACTGTAACACCTATCCAAATGGGCCTTTCACTGAGAAACTTGGGACCAGTAAGCTTTCACACTGTAATACCAGTCTGGGTTTAATATCACATTTACATCATTTAGCAGACGCTCTTATCCAGAGCGACTTACACGACCCAAACAGGATAAAACGGAAATATTGAAGTATGGTTTAACATTGTAATACAACTCCTGTGGATGATTTTCTGACTGAAATAATGGACATGTGGGGCCTAATATGATAATACTGACCCACTGAAGTATTGGACCACTTGGGTTTTTGTTGAAATACTGGACAAGTGGCAAATTATTCTGTAACACTTGGGTGTGAACGGGAACACTATTACCAGACCAGTGGGTCTCTCGCTCTGTTATACTGGGCCGTTAGGGCTTCATCTTGTGATACTTGACCACTTGGTCATGTTCATTACAGCACACAAAGGAAAACATTTTAAAAAACAATTTCGTAACACCACAAAAATTCAGGTTTGGAATTTGAAGTCCAGGCAGTCAATGTTTTAGTACGTTCTCTTCTATTTCTCGCCAAATGAACACAACCCTAATTGATCTTACTGAATGACAGGAAGAGAAGTGGATACAGGAGTACAGTAAGTATGCACCTCCATGAAAGCAGTAAAAACACAGACAATATTTTTTTTTTTGTGCAACAGCCAAAATGTCATCCAAAAAGATACAAAGAACTAAAAACTCACCATCACCTTATAAAGCTGATTAGCACAGTTTAAAAATAAACAAAATCAGACACTTTTTGACATAGTTGAGTGTAGTTGATGATGTTGAGGGAAGCAGCAAGGGAAGCTGTAACCATAGCGTGCTGTTGTAATACTGAGGCACCGGCGCAATACTTAATATCATGAACCAAACAGGATAAAACTGAAAAACTGAAGTATGGTTTAACATTGTAATATGACTCCTGTGGATGATTTCCTGCAATCTGACTGAAGTATTGGACAACTTGGGTTTATATTAAAGTCATATTGGAAATACTAGGGTCTCAGCCCAGGTTTGAGTGACATCCACTCAACAACCAATGACACCTCAGTGAGTCATTGAGGAAGCACGTCGTGGCGAACTGGAAGAAGGAAATGATAATGCAACAAAATAATCCAGGCCTCTTGTCTTTCTGGATATTAAAATCTGCAATGATAATCGCAAAATGCAGGGTGGCCTCAAAAAAGGCCTGCTGATATGGAAGCGATAAGGGGGAGAGAAAGGTTTAAAAAAAAGGCCTGCTGATATGGAAGCGATAAGGGGGAGAGAAAGGTTTAAAAAAAGGCCTGCTGATATGGAAGCGATAAGGGGGAGAGAAAGGTTTAAAAAAAGGCCTGCTGATATGGAAGCGATAAGGGGGAGAGAAAGGTTTAAAAAAAGGCCTGCTGATATGGAAGCGATAAGGGGGAGAGAAAGGTTTAAAAAAAGGCCTGCTGATATGGAAGCGATAAGGGGGAGAGAAAGGTTTAAAAAAAGGCCTTGTGTGGGTCTGAGGCGAGATATGTACTGTACGCCGATGCCTGGACGGAGGGAGGCTCGCCGGTGAAGGCAGTACTGAGAGAACAGGGGATGGGATGGGGGTCGCTGCAGCTTGTTAAAAAGCACGGTAATAATCTTTGATATTTACACTGTTAAAGTGAATACATTCAGGCAGTACAGGGAGAGGGCGTCTCCTCCCCCCTTTGTAACGAGGTACGTACGTTTGGCACTGCTGTAACTATCTGTCCCTCTGTCTCTTCTGTCCGTCAGGCCTTCCATCCATCCAGCCATCCGTGTCATCATCCTCTTCCATATCACTTGTTCGTTCACGCGATTCTCGGGGGTATTGAAACGGTAAACGCGGTTGTCGGATCGTCCGTTGACTGTCCTGAAGACGTCTGATCCAGGCCTATGTCTCTCCTGGCTGTGTCAGACAGGAGCCTGGGTCAGAAGGCACGTATGTGGATCACTCCACTGAGCAGTCCGCTTAACTCTCCTCTTTATAAAAACTTAGGCAGTATGCAGACCACCAGGGTCTGGGTTCTAAGGGTCCCCCCCACCCACATCCAGGTTAATTCCCAGAATCCTCTGTTCTGTGGTTCTTTTGGGAAAAGGCAAACCTCTGGGACAGTTAGACTCAAATCCCGTTGGTCAGGTCCGTGATGACGTTGGCCTTCACCAGCTTGCGGAGGAACTCCTTTTCCTTGGATATGTTGTGTGTCCAGGACTGTGGAGATGAAAGGGAACAAGATGAGAAACAAGAAGATTGTCAAAGATCAGTGGGGGGGCGGGGGTCAGGATCAAAGACAAGAAACGGTTCTCAACAACCTATGAAGGACATTTTGGGTTTTCTATTCTGCACAACACTGCATGAAAACAACCTTCTCCAACTCTTTGCGTCAAACCATTTTGACTTTCAATGGGTTTTAAGAGCCTTGTCATATGTAGTTATGTCTGCATTGTTTTCTTCTGGTGAATATGATGGAGTCAGAGTGAGTTTGTAGTGAGAGTGTGTGTGTGTTTGTGTGTGAGTGGAACCACATTGGGTCAATTTCATTCCCCACTATGCTCCGGGACCTCAGTCTGGTCTGCAGCGTGTGTAACAAGAGCCCGTGATTCCTGTGGGAGGCTCTGGGGCCTGAGAGTGGGAGGACCGGGCTGGTCTGGGTTGGGTTGGGCTGAACTGGACCCCAGAGCTCTGCCTGGGTCCAGGCTGTGGGGCCGAGCCTCTCCTGAGAGCCACTGGTCTGTCTGGGTCGGCCTGGCCCCGACTCTGTGACGGATCACACTTGCACACAGAACCACACGGATCCAGGGCTAGGGTTTCACTGCTTTACTACAGGGAGCAGGGCCGGGAGAGCCATGTGAGCAGTAACACCAGGGTGTGTGTGTGTCTTCAGGCCTTGCTGTCTGTGATTTAAGCTGAGAGTCCAGGGATGACGAGCTAGGTCAGAGAGAGGATGAGGCGGAAGCAACCTCCCCCTCTCTTTAACATGCTTGCATCTACAGAACACATACGAATGGTATGTACAGAAATACTGAACAGTGTGGTATTCTACATTCACTCCTGTTCAGTCCCTTCACACGAGCTACAGAAAGTTGAAAAACAAACTAAAGTGCACCTGGATCCATTCTGAGTTTAAGCTGAGTAGCCCTGTTTTAGGAGGGGACTAGTTTATGTTCGACAGAGAGTAAGGATACCACTGCATCTCATCGCTCCCTGAGAGGTGACCATAACACATTACCACCAGTGGAAGCACATGACAGTGTGTCTTTCAGTGTTCCAATGATGATGGACCTACTAGATGAGGGTTCCATTGATTACATGGCTCAACATGGTAAGAGTTCACTGGGAGTTTAGACCAAGATTATCATTCTGAGTTCATACGTCAGCTCCCCTCTGTGACATCTGGCATAATAGAACACTGAGGCAGTCGGGAGTGGAGGACTAAAAGGCTCCATCTTGGGGTCATTTACTTGGACGGGAGGAGGATGAGAGAGCTAATCAAAAAGACAGAAAATGGAACAAAACCCTCGTTAGCCTAATAGGTCTAGGAGGGGGAGCCAATATAGTCTCTCTAATCTGCACTTTTCTGAAAACAATATGGTGGATTTGTCTACTGAGAATGCATTTTCACCTTTCCAGTTCTTTCACGTGTGACTTAGTGTAGACAAGGAGAGGAAACATCACTCCAAGACCGATTTCCAGTGTATTTAAATGCAACAAAAACACGCACCTCTTTGATGGCGGACATCTTGACCGTCTCGTAGTAGTGCAAGGGCGCGTGGGGCGTGTTCATGTCGTAGCCGAAGCCGGCCACCGCCACCTCGTCACAGTTATGCAGGGCCATCGTTATGGCGACAGTCCCCAGGGTTGGAATGTTCTGAAGAGGGAAAAGCACAAAAGGTGGCCATGTCACTTCTTTATAGTGTATCGTACAGGCAACTGCCAAAATAAAAGGAAAGTCTTGAGTAAATGAGGGATACAAAGTATATTGAAAACAGGTGCTTCCACACAGGTGTGGTTCCTGAGTTAACTAAGCAATTTTCATCCCATCATGCTTAGGGTCATGTATAAAAACACCCAGTTGCCCATTATTTTTGCTACCATTATTTGTGTGACTGTCCTTGTGTATCAGTGTTTTGTTACGAGTCATGTGTTGTATTGTGTTTTTTTGTGGATCCCAGGAAGAGAGGAACCAAATAAACAAACCATGGCTAGAAGAGATCACAGTGACTTTGAAATAGGGGTCTCAAAGGAGCATGGGGCGGGGTGCAACTCAATATTAGGAAAGTGTTCTTAATGTTTTGTACACTCAGTGTATATCCATGTCCTCGTTCACCCACGACTTTCAGAAACATAGGATATTAAAATTGTTCAGGTCCCGTTGATAGGATAGTCTCGAATGGAGCTCATCCAGTGATTGCACATTCGCCAATAGAACAGAGGGCAATGGCGGTCTATTTGCCACGTATGGAGGGTGTGCCGCAATTGCGGAGCCTCCGGAGGCATGCAGAGGCCAAATGCTGCACGGCCAATGCAGACGTCGGGATTGACCATGCAGCGACTTTCAGTCACCAGACCTCAACCCAATTGAACACGGGAAAACGGGAAATTCTGGAACGGCGCCTGAGACAGCGTTTTCCACCACCATCAACAAAACACAAAATTATGGAATTTCTCGTGGAAGAATGGTGTCGCATCCCTCCAATAGAGTTCCAGACACTTGTAGAATCTATGCCAAGGCACTTTCAAGCAGTTATGGCGGCTTGTGGTGGGCCAACGCCGTAAGACGCTTTATGTTGGTGTTTCCTTTATTTTGGCATTTACCTGTATATTGTATCTTATGTTTGGGTGCATTATGGGAACAAAGCATTATTAGAAGGGGGAATGAGAGTGTGTCAAGTAGCCAACACAATTTCCTCTAACAGCAGTAGGTAGTAAAAGCAACCATTGAAAATGTCTATATTAACTCCATCTTCCTTTACCACCACTATCCTTTACCACCACCACTAGTCTGTGACAGACATGGCACCACCATCCCTTCGATCCCTCTCCCTGTGCTCATGGCTTTGTTCTGGGCCAGTTGTTAACTCGTCCTGAGCTGAGCGTGATTAACAATTTGCTTAAACAGGCGCACCCGCACAATGACACAGCGGTTTGAGAGGGCAGACCTCCACTTCCTCAAACCCTAGGGCCTAATGGGGAGGAGATGGTGGTGGTGGGGGGGAGTGAGGAGGGCCTAATGGGGAGGAGATGGTGGTGGGGGGGGCTCTAAATCATTACCTTGATTTGGAGCCCTAAGGGTAGGTGTAGCTTAGCCCGCAAACACACACATCATACAAACACATCACACTAATCAGGGGAAAGACAGGCGGGCATTTTAGGGGAAGGATGTGTCAGGCTGTATCCCGCCTTGATCAGTATTATATGGGACAAGTCCCCCCAACACACACACACTGTCTGAGGGGGCACCAGGGCATCCCACATGTTCCACACATGTTCCTCCTGTACACCAAAGTTCAGCCAGGGGTGTCCTGGTGGCCGCCCCTTCAAGGCAGAAGGCTGTACACACTCCTCGTACCCCTTCCCATCCCTCTAATGCCTGTTGCAGCATGTTCCCTACCCCCTAACCCCTGCACTCCTCTGTAGAACTTCATCAGCCTCTCAAGCTAGTCTGCTGCACAGTTCCAGTCCTGGAGGGGTGACAGCATCTGCTGGTCTTTATCTAACCTATTCCCTTTGATCAGCCAGCCATGGTCTTGGTAAACTAGGTAAGTGGCCTCATGAAGCCAATCAATGCGTTTGATTGATTAGTTACGTGCCAAGGAGAGAAGAAAACCAGCAGAGCCTGTGGCAGTCCAGAATCTACAGTCTCATCTGATGCCCCCCTCAAAACCAAAATGAGAACAAAATACATCTATGAGGAGTTAATGAGGTAATACGTCTGAAGCTTCATTTTCCCTCCATAAATCTTTCCCTTTCATCAAGAGCAGGGGTCTGCAACGCGTGTCTCTGGAGTCTTATGTGGCCTTTTAACTACCCCTTTGTGGCTCCATGATGAACTATTCAACACAATTATGTTTTGTTTAGTTTGAAATGCAGTCAGGTGCACCCAATGTCTCTCTCTCTCTGAATCATGAGGTTCATCCATTGCAGCTACTAGAGCGCTAGGTTTTTGTGAAAATTCACTTGGGTTCCTGACCCTTGATCTAGAGAGATGTTTGCAGTTGTTTTAACGGTTTAATTTCCTGTGATGGCATGGCAAGTTGCTGCCTTGCTGTGGTTGTCATAGGAACAGGGGTTCTACTGGCAGCGAGGTTTGAGTTTGGGGCCTGAAGTGTGTCAAACACACTTTGGTTATGAACGTGCGGTCGGTCATCAACTCCCGGGCTGCCTATGGGTTGTGTACCGTTTCGTAGCATGTGTGAGAGAGTGTTAATGTTTGAAAGAGGGATTGTGCCTCTGTCAGGGTGTGCCTGTGTGTATTCTTAAACTTAAAATACATGGGCGTGAGTGAGTAAGAGTCTATGCACTCTTGTACTGCATGCGTGAATGTATGTCTGCATATGCGTTTGCGTGCAGACTGCAAACCGGGCTGAATCTTATCCACCTTAAATCCAGGTGACGTCTACATAGCACCATACATGGTTTCTGCGAACATTCTGAGGGTTCATCTCAGAACATTCCAATGCATAAATTGTTCGATACATTTCTATCGAACTAGAGCGGGTTTCTGTCAGTGTCACTCACCCCTTTCCCCATGAGGCCGTTGTTGAGTGGCAGGCCGATGAACTGGAAGGCAGCCTCCTGGATGAAGTAGGGGTTGAGGATGCGCATCTCTGTGGGCTCCCTGGGGACGTAAAAGGCCACTGACTTCCAGAAGCCCTCTGTACCACGCTAAGAGAGAGGGAAAAAAGAGAGAGGGGAGATTGTTACTTTCAATGCCTCCCGAAACTCACAATGTTCATCCAATTTATCATTTTGGGGGTAAAAAGGAGTACTTCTAAGTATGAGGTAGACAGAGGTTTAAACACAAAGAGATTATCTTCAATAACATTGACATAGAACCACAGGTCACATCAGCCTCTCAAAACTTACAGGAATCAAAAACCGTGGATTAATGGCAGCCTTGTTGGGAAACTGAAGGAGAAACATGCTGCTTATAAACACGGCAAGGTGACCAGGGACAATTGTATGGTTAAACAGCTCAAATACAACCTACGCAGATCGATCAAGGTGGCGAGACAAGTTTAGGGACAAAGTGGAGGAACAATTCAGCAGGTTGGACACGAGGCGTATGTGGCACGGCTTCTAAAGATCATGGATTACAAAAAGAAAGCCAGGCATGTCGGGGATACCAACGCCGCCCTACCGGACGAGCTAAACACATACATGCTTACGGTCTCCACGGAGTACGTTTGTAACTCATTCAAACGTGTTAACCCTCGTAAGGCTGCCGGTCCAGATGGCATCCCTAGCCGCACCATCACAGCATGTGAAGACCCGCTAGCTGTTGTGTTTTCTGACATTTTCAATCCCTCTCTAGCTCACGCCGCTAACCCCACCTGCTTCAAGATATCCACTATCATCCCCGTGTCCAAGAAAGGGAAAGCAATTGAACCGAATGACTACCGAACCGTAGCACTCACGTCATCATGAAGTGCTTTGAGAGGCTAGTCAAAGAAGATCATCAAGGACCTCAGCCACGCGAGCCGGCCTGTTCTCCCCCTTCCATCACTTAGACGCGGGCAATATAGAAGCATCATGGTAAAAACTGACAGCCTGGCGGGTAGGAGCATTGGGCCAGTAACCGAAAGGATGCTGGATCGAATCCCTGAGCCGACAAGGACAAAATCTGTCGTTCTGCCCCTAAGCATAGCAGTTAATCCCCAACAACAACCGTTTCCCAGGCGCTGATGACGCGGATGTCGATTAAGGCAGTCCCCCACACTTCTCTGATTCAGAGGAGTTGGGTTAAATGCGGAAGACACATTTGAGTTGAATGCATTCAGTTGTGCAACTGACTAGGTATCCCCCTTTCACTTTATACCCCCAGAGCATCAGGCTGCTGAATATCCACCACTAGGCAGCTACCAAAACTTACCCGAATCAAAAACCGTGCATTGATTGCAGCCTTGTCGGGAAACTGAAGGAGAGAGATGCTACTTATACACACAGCAAGGTGACTGGGGACAACTTAAGAATTTAACTGTACCTTGCAAATACATCTGCGACCCTGTGCATGTGACTAATAAAATCCTCTATTGTCGACCATAATAACGACCACGGTAGCGCCCTGTCATCAGGCAGGAAGTGTTACAGGAAGTAAGCCAAATCACACCCTGAACTCAAGAGAGGGTTCTGGGAGCCCTCACACCCCTCTGGGTCCTCCTACTCCAATCACCACAGAGACCAGACTGACTCCACCACACCCGATGGTAAATTAGGCTGAAATCTAAGGGCACATACTTTGGCCCATTGTCTGACTTTATATGCTCCGGAATGCAAAAACATACTTCCGCGCATACTTTACTCAATACACATGGTAAATCTAAACGCCAGAATATTAACATTCAAATCTGATTAGTAATTTTTCCCAAATATCTGCCAAATCTACAATAATATATTATAACGTTAGCCAAGTAGCTACGGCTAGCTGTAGTCCTCTGTATGTCAACATCCCTCATCAGGCGTATTACAGTAGCTTTCTGCCACAAACACTGGCTGACAGACTTGCCTGCCTGCTTGACTACTTGGCACACAGCCAAAGGGGTCAGCAGATGTAAATGGGAATCACCTGTTCAAATAGTCAGACGCCCGCCCTGCCGCCTTTGATATTGGGGGGGGGGGGGGAATAATGGGAGGCGCAGTTGGGTGGCTTTGAGCGGCGTGTTTTCAACCAGGGGCCTCCGCCCCCTCAGCAAGCCGTGGCAGGAAAACCTAATCTCTCCTGTCAACATGCTGCTTGTGTTTGGGGATCTGTTTGGCAGGAAGCGCTGTAGAAGCTGTAAGCAATGCTTTTTATTGTGGAAAGCAGGGAAGGTGCCGACTCAAAGACATGGTACACAGACAAGAGTGTCATGTCTGACGTAGGAGCCAGACAAACAAGTAGTAAGAGAGAGTGTTGCAGAAAGGTACATCCAAGAGGACAGCTATTTAGCAGGTAACAGCATTGCTTTTAAATGAACACTGATCATTTCCAATGAAACTACCTAGGCCTATAACACCAAATGAGATACAGGTTTCCGTATCTAATGAAGTTATATCACTCAGAAGCCAGAGAACAGTCTCTGAAGAGGCCCCTGAGGGACAGGAGGTGCGCTGTGACCCCTAGGCCAGTGAGTCAGGAGAAACTCAACTGATGGTCCGTTTGAAAAGATAAAACAGGAAGCTGCAGATTGATCCTGTCCTACTCGCTCACACGCCATGCTAAACCGGAGTCAACCATACTTATACACAGACGAATGCGTGTGCACATACACGCGCGAGCACACCGACTGGGGTGAGCAGGAGTGTGTATGGCTTGTTGGGCGATGGCAGTGTTGGGTTGTGCTTTAGCGTAGAGGAAATGGCTGTTTCCCTTCTCTCACGACAGGTTTATGGTTAAATTAGTCTGGATTATTAGATTGAAGTGTGTGCACGAGGCTGTGCCCTGACGCCGGCACCTGTTAAAACAGCCTTTAATTGGAGAGGTAATTGTTTGCATAGCAGGGAGAGAGAATAGGAGTACGTTTAAGATTTCTCATCCAGACAAGGGCCTCAGCTCTGGCCAAACTACCTCAGTTCCACCAGTGTTGACATAGGCATTGAAAAATGTTCACCAGGTAAGCCAAACAGAGGCTCATCAATGAGATAAAATACAGATGTCGCCTTTTGGATATAATTATATTAGTTGTAGAAAAAGGTGAATGACTCAACTAGACCTGGGAGCTCTGGGTGAGTCACCGGCCAACACAGTAATGAAACGTATAACATACCTGAAGACTGCAAACCCACAAAACGGAAAGACATTAACATCATTATATTACATGTCCATCTAAGCTACTATACTATATTATTTAGGTTCAGTTTTCATTTTAAGTGTTAGGGACGGAATGTATGGAGGCATAGGTGGCTAGGAATGATTTACACTACATTACCAAAAGTATATGGACACCTGCTCGTCGAACATCTCATTTCAAAATCATGGATATTAATATGGAGTTGGTCCCCCCTTTGCTGCTATAACAACGTACACTCTTCTGGGAAGGCTTTCCACTAGATGTTGGAACATTGCTGCAGGGACTTGCTTCCATTCAGCCACAAGAGCATTAGTGAGGTCGGGCACTGATGTTGGGCGATTAGGCCTGGATCACAGTCGGCGTTCCAATTCATCCCAAAGGTATTCGATGGGTTTGAGGTCAGGGCTCTGAGGCCAGTCAAGTTCTTCCACACGAGCTTTACAAGCCATTTTGTATGGACCTAGCTTTGTGCACGGGGGCATTGTCATGCTGAAACAGGAAACGGCCTTCCCCAAACTGTTGCCACAAAGTTGGAAGTACAGAATTGTCTAGAATGTCACTTTATGCTGTAGCGTTAAGATTTATCATCACTGGAACTAAGGGGCCTAGCCCAAACCATGAAAAACAGCCCCTGACCATTATTCCTCCTCCACCAAACTTTACAGTTGACACTATGCATTCGGGCAGGTCGCGTTCTCCTGGCATCCGCTAAACCTAGATTCGTACGTTGGACTGCCAGATGGTGAAGTGTGATTCATCACTCCAGAGAACGTGTTTCCACTGCTCCAGAGTCCAATGGCGGCAAGCTTTACACCACTCCAGCTGACGCTTGGCATTGTGCATGGTGATCTCAGGCTTGTGTGCGGCTGCTCGGCCATGGAAACCCATTTCATGAAGCTATTTCAACGAACAGTTCTTGTGCTGACGTTGCTTCCAGAGGCAGTATGGAACTCGGTAGTGAGTGTTGCGACCGAGGACAGATTATTTTTACACGCTACGCACTTCAGCACTCGGCAGTCCCGTTCTGTGAGCTTGTGTGGCCTACCACTTTGCGGCTGAGCCGTTGTTGCTCTTAGACGATTCCACTTCACAATAACAGCACTTACAGTTGAACCGGGGCACGAACTGACTTGTTGGAAAGGTGGCATCCAATGACGGTGCCACGTTGAAAGTCACCGACCTCTTCAGTACGGGCCATTCTACTGCCAATGTTTGTCTATGGAGATTGCGTGAGTGTGTGCTCGATTTTATACACCTGTCAGCAACAGGTGTGGCTGAAATAGCCGAATCCACTAATTTGAAGGAGTGTCCGCATACTTTTGGCCACGTAGTGTATACGTTGTAGGTTTATAGCAGTGGTACTCAAGTGCTATTTGAGATGGTCGAGTCACACAAATGTCCTAGGTGGCAAAGGTCCATATGGATATAGTCATTTATCGGCGTAGTAACAAACCCCCATTTCGCAACCCATGTGACCCCAAACTGTTTACACCCTTCTTGTTGGCAGAGTTTTAAAGCACATTTTCTGCAATTGTTCACATTATGCCATCGAGTGGAGAAAATGTAGTAATTTTTAAGCAAATTTCCTGAAATTCTTCAAATTTTCCACGTCTTATGTGTTTTCATATGATACCAGGAGATGAATCCTGACCGAATTCCAAACATAAAATAATAGCAGTCTCACCTCGTCTTTATCCTGAAATTCTTTGTGGGTGCGATTCAGATGTGTTTTCCCCTTTTGTCTCTGTTCCACACACGCTACCATCTTCTGACAGTACAATAAATTAGCTTTTGTCCTTTCCAGCAATGTACTCAAAATAATCCCATACAGGGCTTTGTCTTTTCAAATCTAATCAAATTGTATGTCACATGCGCCGAATATAACAGGTGTAGAAT